CGTTCTGTGATTCTGTGTGTGATTCTGTGACATGTAATTTCTGTAATTTGGTCTTATATGACTCATTTGGAATAAAATTATAAGAAATCAGTCAAAAGCATCAAGGAAATATTCTTCCATTTCTTACAGCCAAGAGACATTAAGTACATTGTTTTTCTTTTCCCTTGCTCAAAGACAAATGCTACATTCAGAATACCATGTTAATTTAAGATAGATGCTTCTGATTTTGTATGCAAGAATAGTATTCCAAGTAGCATCTTTGAAAATACACAAGTGTTGAAATTGAAGCTACATAATATATGAGAACAAATTACTGAAAAGAGTTAAGATCCTCTGTCATTACCGTTCTCCACACTTATTTTTCTAGTTAAGCTAGAAACAGGTTCACAAAACTTCTTGGGACAAATACTTTCCTAAGGGTAAAGCCATTGCTCCCTGTCCATTGGGACAGACCATTTGGTCTTTGCATGAGCCAAAAAACCTAAACAATGAAGCAAGCAAGCTACCTCTGGACACAAAAAGGAAGGAGGTGAGTTGCAACCATATGCTCTCAAACTGGAAAGTTTCCTTATGCCTATGTTGTGCTTGCCCTGTTTTATCTGAATGAAAAAAAATATTTCTTAAACAAATAAACAATAGCACCAGTCATGGCACACTGCAAGCAACCTTCTACCTGCAATATCTGTGGACAGAGATCAGCTGTTGGTATAGCAGTTTCCAGAGAACACTGTCCTGTGAAAGCTGCAGCACAGAAAACAATAATTTAGCAAACCCAAGAAGAATTTCATTTGGAAACATTTCCAAAAACGAACTAAAAGTTCAGGAAATGTTGATTTCCTGAGAACATAGAGTGCATTCACCATGAATCACTAACTCTCACTTGAGATCGTTAGTTTCATAAAAGCAGAATTATAGAACAAAGCATTTTAGGAACAACTTACCAACCAAGCAATTGGATATTATTTGCTAATAAAACCATGTGTAATTTGGGAGACAAACTGATCCTCAGCCAGATAAACAACAAGGTGAGTGAACTGCTTTAAATGTCTCTTGTTAAAGAAGGTGCTTACAACAAAATATTCAACCATCTTTAATATTTACTATAATGTTATTAAAGGTTAATATTTCCAAAGTATTATTTTGAAATATATATGAAAGATTACAAAGTTGCAGCATATGCTTAAGTAGGTATTTTTCTACCCTTGGTAACCAGCAGTGCAAGACATTGAAGAAAGTCTGACACCTGGATAAAGATCTGATTTGTTGACTTGATAAGCAGATGACATTAAAAAAAATCTAAACTTTCAATGTTAGTGTTTGAAGAAGTTTATTCAGCAGCTTCACAGTCCTTTGGTTTTCTTCTCCATTATGGTTAATTCTGTATGCAGTACGGACAAGAAGGCTACAGACTTCATTGCTTGTGTCAGCTGTCTCTGTAATCTGAAGGGAAACAGAAAAGATGGGAAGTAACACAACTATGTTGCTAAGTGTTAAGGATTGGCCGTTAATATTCACAACAAAACCACAGATTTGTCCCTCACCACTGAACATGTGAAATGCTCTGAGTTCAAAAGCAGCTTCTGCCCAAGGCATCTCTTCATAAATCTTCACAGAACTGAGCAACTCTGATATTTCTACTGTTCTCTCAAATACGAGTGAAACAAATCAAGAAGTTAACAAGTTTTTAATGGAAACTCAAATGGAACAGACAGTGTAACCATTTGGAAGTCATCTTCTTGGAAAACAATTAAAGGAACACGAAGATTTTCAGTGGGCATGGGGAGACAATTCAATTCTGTAAAGCTTTCAATAGTAAAAATACATTCCTCCCCCAGAAGATGACCAAGGACCAAGAAAAGACCCTAAATTGCAATTTTTGCAGATCAGGAGGGACTTTACTCCATGTCATCTGCTGTGTTAATCCCAGATTTTACTATGCTAACTAAAACCACTGCTGTGCATCCCAGTTAGGTTCCATACCTTTCTGCCTTTTGTATGTTGTCTTCAGGCCCTTCCAAATCACAGGGAGAACCTAACTACATATTAATGGTTACACAGATAGTCAAAATTAATTAGATCAAAATACTCTGGCCTAAAACAGCTCTTGACCACACTGCACTGGTGAATACTCAAAATTTTGAAAGTTCATTATGTTGCTTTGTATAAAGAAAAATGAAATTGCCTTTGGTCTTCCTGAAGAGGTTTAAAGCAGCAGACTAGTATATCACAGCACCACTGCTCAACAGCTACATTCTTCAACATAGAAATACTAAAACCAGCAGACTATAAAAATACATACAGAGCCCTAATTTTATCAATACATCCTTATGCTAAGAAGAAATAGATAATTTGTGAACTTACACCTAAAATGCTAGAAATATCTTAGCCCTTCTTAAGCAGAAAATGTTTTGTCTATTTAGTCAGCCACAAGGATTAACAACACAAATAGGTTTCCAGTTCCCCGTGCCATAAAACCAGACTCCTTATACATTCCATATACCCTATACAGATGGAAGAGCACACTGCTCCTGAAAGGAAAAGCTTTTGAAGTTTAAAACCACACACTGGCCATAGACCTACTGGCACAGGAGGCTTGTACTTCTTAAAAAGAGTATTGTTTTATAGTTGGAGAGGAATAAATTCCTAATCTTACACTGAGATTACACTACTGTCTTGAGAGACACAAACACATTATACTGCTGACACCAATATACCTGAAGGCTCTCATCAACAACAGGAAGATATTGTGGCTCACCTTCAACATTTTATTCGTCTTCTCAGATTTTTCACATGCTGACACTTTTCTCAGGTCTTTGTTCTTTTTTTCTCAGTTATTACACCATTTTAATCTCTGGCTTTGTTAAAGCATGAAGCTTTTCCCTCATTAATGCTAACAGTCAGTAACTACCTGTTTTACATAATGGAAAACAGGGAGAAGACAGTTCCATCATCTCTGCAGTAGCTGGATAATTAAGGGAATGATTTACAACTGGGAAAAGCAAAATGTTTGCATGTGCTATTTATGCCAGGTGTAATTGAACTGTAGGTATCCCTTAACTGCAAGCTACTACTCCAACTGTTCCTGCAGCTGTATAGTCAGGACAACCTTTTCACTGAGATCTTGTCAAGAGGTGTCAAGAAGGAAAACATTCTGACTGTAGCTGAAACAGGTACGTAGCAGGTTAGGTATAGTTGCTTTAGTCAAGATCTTCTTTAATTCTCTGTTATGTGAGAACAGGAAACATAACAGAACCTCTTTATTAAGAGGTAAGAACTTATATCCAAAATAGTAAAAAAGCCCTTATTTTACTTAAACTGAAAAAAAAGAGGAAATGGTAAACTTACATGGTAAATAAATTCCTCTGCAATCGTATGTCCACCAGAAGAAAAGAGCAAAAAGTTGGTAAGAAGATGCGCTGCAAGATGCTGGTTACAACACTGCTCTATACCCATTATATTGTGTACAGCAGCCTCCAGGTCTTTGACAGAAAGAACTGTACAGCTGAAGAGCATCATTAGATGATTGTAGAGTGCTTGAGCTTCTACCTGTAGGAAAAAATTTCAAAGGATGCAGGATGAGAGAAGAGTAAAGGTCATATCTATGGTATTTTTCCTTTGAATTTTCCACTAACAGGAAACTGAATCCTTGGCAGAAACTACCCAAACATGAAAAGAGTTTGAATTCAAGCAGCAGGGGGAACAGGGAAGGAAGGGCTGTACACATTTCTTTTATAGTGATTCACACAGGGAGGTGGAAAGAATGGAATTTTTAAACTTTTTTCAGTCATGCAAACTAAGCAGGCAGGGCATCAAGCCAGGATTCAACCTTTTTAAATAATAAAAGGAAGTGGAGAAAGTCCCTCAGCAGAATGTGGTCAGATTTTTGCATTGTGGGAAAAAGAACAGAGGCTCCTCAAGGGCTCATTTCAGTATTGCTGCTACAAATCAGTTAAATCCGCATGCAACCTGACCTCAGCTGATAAAATATTCTGGTAAGAATGCAGTATTTTCCTTCTTCCCGTGTTGTTTGCAACTTATGGTTTTACCTTTTGAGTTAGCCAATAAAAACTAATTTTTACTGGGAGTAAGAAACAGAAGTTTTTGGCCTCTACACAATGGAAAAAGGACTATAAGCAACTATTGCAAAAGAAACTAACAATAATGCTGTTCACCGTATTAAAAATAAACCAAACAAACTGGTAGAAAAAACCCAAATGAACAAGTGCAGGAACAACAGAAAAATATACCACTGCAAGCGAAAAGGATACCATGTTCATTAGGACAATTTGTTTCCATCATTTACCTGACCCTGCTTTTATCATCCCTGCCCTATTAACAATGCCACCTAAAATTGTCAGAAAAAGCTGCTATTCTTCAATTATGTCCACAATAACATGTGAGGCAACAAATGATACCAAAACCTAAAGAAATGTAACCAGAATTCTTCAAGATTCTTTATCCCTCTGTGCACCCTATTTTTGGTGTGCCTCCATCCCATGAGACCGGAGACTGATAGTAGCAGACTCTGCTCTATGAGCCCTTAGAGACTCAGTGCCAAAGTTACTATCACCAACCTCCAAATTTTGTTACTCCTATGTTTAACAGTTTAAAGGTATAAAAGAACTCCAACAAATAAACAAACATTGAGCAGCAGAATATTCAGTCCTGTGTATACAAATGAAGTCCAGTGAACAGCAAAAGTAGCCTCTCTCTTCATTAAATAATTCTAACCCTATGTATTCCACTCTTGCTGATATATAAGCTCCTTCTTAAAGTAAACAGCAGGAAGATAAAATCTTAAATCATGAGTGCATGTCTTTCCACACAAAAATGTGCTGACTGAAAAGTCCTCCAGCTTGGCATCTGCCAGAAGTTCCCATCCCATTGTAATCCTTAACTGGTGAAAGGTATAGGGGTTGAGGAAGAAACCACTCAATCTGAAAGAGCTGAGAGCTAACCTGCCAAAGGATAAATTAAAAGAAAAAGCAAGTATCTAGCTACAGGCAGAAGGTTTGCATGAATTGTGGGAATGCTTCTGAAGTAGCCTGACTTGTGGGAAAAAAAAAAAAAAAAAGAGTCTTACTTGAAGTAACTGAAGAAAAGAATCATAATGAACTGAAATATTAGACCTCTGAGAATGAATGAGTAACTGTGTGGGCTGTCAGTGGAAAAGCTTTTTTCTCATACTTTATAACAGAATAACAAACTGACAGAATAAGGCACACACAGAGAAATTATTTTATGTATGAGACAATGTGATTTCATTCTGTGGTGTGGGAGTTAGAACAATGTTCCATACATAGATCTGCATCTATAGTCCTTCAGTTTCATTTACTCATGTTTATTGCTTGGGACACATCAGAAAGCTGTGCTGCCATTCAGCATGACCTGGACAGGCTGCAGAACTGGGTAGGGAGAAACTTAATTAAATTCAACAAGGGTGAGTGTAGGGTACTGCATCTGGGGAAGAACAACTCCATGTATCAGTACATGATGGGGGCTGACCTGCTGGAGAGCAGCTCAGGGGAAAAGGACCTGGGAGTCCTGGTGGACAGCAGATGACCATGAGCCAGCAATGTGCCCTTGCAGCAAGGAAGGCCAATAGCATTCTGGGGTGCATTAAGCAATGTGTGGCCAGTAGGTCAAGGGAGGCTCTCCTCCCCCTCTATTCTGCCCTAGTGAGGCCACATGTGGAATATTGTGTCCAGATCTGGGCTCCCCGCTTCAGGAAGGACAACAAATGACTGGAGAAAGTCCAGTGTAGAGCCACTAAGATTATGAGGGGACAGGAGCATCTCCCATATGAGGAAAGGCTGAGAGAGCTGCATCTGTTTAGCCTGGAGAAGAGGAGGCTGAGCGGGCATCCCATTAATGCTAAGAAATACCGAAAGGGCAGGCGTTAGGAGGATGGGAACAGACTCTTCTCGGTTGTGCCCAGTGACAGGACAAGGGGCAATGGTCACAAAGCAGTACACAGGAGGTTCAACCCAAACGTAACAAAAACTTTTTTACTGTGAGGGTGACAGAGCACTGGCACAGGCTGCCCAGAGAGGTTATGGAGTCTCCTTCTCTGGAGACATTCAAAACTGACGTGGACACATTCCTGTGTGACCTAGCAGGTGATCCTGCTCTGGCAGGAGGGTTGGACTGGATGATCTTTTGAGGACCCTTCCGACTCCTGCCATTCTCTGATTCTGTGTATTGCCTTCTTTCCCAAAACTGCGTTCTAAAACCAGTCCTGGTTTCTTTACTTCGCTCTGTTCAACCAACATCCCACTTCTGTAAGAAATTAAATAGAAAAAAAATTAAAAAGTGATTGACATGTGAGCTCATGTTTGTAGTGCCACCTGGGTGGCAGGAGGGGAAGGGAAGGTAATAAAATATTGTAAAACACAGTTGTACATAGACCATTAACTGTAAAATGAAAGCATGATGTTTTCCAAGTGTGGTATACTAAGCTACATTTTAAATCAAACAGAATCAATTTTCTAATTAAGGAAAACTGGAGATGCCACAGCCAGAATTTGAACTTAGGCTTTGTAGATCAGATTGTTTAGGCTAGTTCAAATTTTCATAATAGGTCTAAATTAAAGGCTTTCATGTATTTGCATGCATACACTGACACACAGCACTCTTCACGCAGTACAGTGTGTGAGGTTAGAACACTGCTTCTTTCTGTTAGAAACCTAGCATGTGGGGATACAGCATACTTGTTACAATCTCAAACATGTCAAAAATCAGCAAAGATATATGAGAGAAATCAGAATAGATGGGCAAGATTTAGCATTCAGAGCTGTGTCTGATAAGTATCCTGACTTCTTTGACTGCTGTTGTGATTTTTCTTGTGTTTCCTTCTCAGAAGATGCCCTAATATGGGAATGTGAACTCTACCACACAGTGATTGAAAAAACACCATTCCTAGAGTAGTTTTATATGTGATTAAAACACCCAAATTATCCAAAAGAAAGTCAAGATGGTGCTAATCTACATAACATACTATAAAGAGGAAAAATGTTTTCTAAACATCACCAAGCAAATCCACAAAAATTATCTTTCAATTTCTCCACTGCCACACGATTCCCAAGAGATCTTGGTAAAGCCAAAACTTTCTCCACTGTAAACTTTTCATTTTTCTGGTGTGAACTATTTGTTTTATAGCAGTAAGATACAGGCAGATTATTGACTGCTTATTGCTGCTTACTATTGCTCCATTACTGACCATTGTTTGAGCCCTTTGCTGATTTTCATTCTGAGGACAGTAGTAAAATGCCAGCAGCCACAGCAAGCCATCTGGTTCTACAGCAGCCTTCAGTAATTGTTCTGTCGCGATATCCAGCCATTCTCCAAAACGAGCAACCAAAAACCAGATTTCAAAAAGGTCAGCAAAAGAACTGGAAAATAACAAAGATACAATTAAGTATTACTTGCTATTTAACATCTTTAAATACCTTCAGTTAACTGCAAAGAATGCTGGCATGAAAATAAAAATCATTAAACTGCTTTTCAAAAGATAATGCCTTACCTGCTAAGCATACAGTCATGCACTACTCTATTATTCGCTGTCACAATCAAATGAGACATATAATGTGATCCCGCTCTGCGAGGGGGATTGGAATAGATGATCTTTTGAGGTCCCTTCCAACTCCTAATATTCTGTAATATCCATAACTACTAACAGATTAAATTTGTCAGTAGAACAGACTGTCCATAATACCAGTATCCAATAAACTGTAACAATATACTATGTATTAAAATATACCTCATAAAATACAACCTTATTGTTTATACCCTCCAGCTGAAGGATTTTCAAGACTTTAAATCATATCTCAAGAGTTGTATTCTAACATACTCTTGCCTTATACTGTCTTCCAGTTTCTCTTTTTTGCTTTCCAGGGTTATTTTCTGTTTCGGTAACTTACAACGCACATGTTTTTTGGTAATTCATGAGGGCTTACATTTAGATGGACTAAATAGAAAGTTTTTAAGGTTATTCATCTCCTGATTCTTAGAATTCAGGTCCTCTTCAATGTAAATGCTGAAGGTATTTACAACTGGGTTAGTGCAGTGAGAAAAAAGAAAGGTGAGAACGGACCACAGCTCATCTCTATACTTCCTCACATGTACTCTTCTGAAGTTGGGATAAGAATAAAGAAATAATGGGGAGATGCAAACTAATGGTAGCCCAGAAATTATCAATCCTGTAAATTGTATTGCCTGTATGACAGAGAATCTCAGAGTCTCAGAATCCTGTTCCTAGGACACAAATCCACCACAACAGTATTTTTGGATAAATGTGAACACTCACATCAGACATAAAAGATTGGCATACAGTAACACAGAGTAGCGAGGCGAGTGCTATAGAAGTCCCCGTTGTGATATTCCACAGCTTTTGGAGGGGCAGCAGCATGGCTCAGACTGCAGGGAACTAGAGATCTGTGACAAAATCTGAGAATAAAATTCTTAACCTAAAGGAACAGGATCAACACTAGTAAAGTCTTTGAAGATAATAGAACCTGGAAATGCAACTTAAAAACCTTTGAAAAAACAAGAAAATCTGATAATGATCTAGGACAACAGCTCTCCTCAGAGAAAACAGGTTCCTTATTTAACCATAATTCAAAGCTGTGACAATCTAAGAGGACAGGCTAGCTCTGAAATTCAGTGAAGTACAAATCAAAGATAAAACTTAATTAAAAGTTAATTACTGAGAACAGATAACTATACTTAGGGTAACATTGACAGTAGTTATGACTGGAAGTGACTCAAAGGATAAATGCAAGTCCTTAAACTTTAAGCACTAAACTAATTTTAACAGTTACTTAGCAGAACAGAATTTAATTCTTGCCTAGAGAGCCTAGGCACCACTGTGCTTACAACTCGCCACAATTTTCCTGTAGCATCACAGTGCCTGGTTCGGAGTTGTGTACCCTGCACTTCCGTCCCCACTGATGTTTCTGCCTGTTCTGCAGCAGCACCTATGCCAACTGCTCCACTGGCATTGCCAGAAGTGGTCCTTCACTTTTTCTGGGACTTTCCCTTGCAAAATGTATGTAATTGTTGATTTCTGGTTTAAAATGTCACATAATATTTGCTGTTCACTGAGATGAATACATATAATAATAAATAATGGCATAGAAGCAATCTGTTGATTAGAGGTACACAGAAGGTACCTTGCTCTAACACTTACATTTGGAATAAAATAGAACCATTGAAAAACAAGCCATATAAACAAAGAGCACTGACTACAAGAAGCAAGAGGATATGCTGCATAGCAGTATTTTTTGCTCCTCTGTTAATCTTACTAAGTAGAAAGGATGCAGAATGAGGAATAAAGCAATAAAAGAAAACTGAATGCAGATTCCTCAAGAATATTAGTATTTTAAAACTTAGGCTAGATCTATTTTCTTTGTAACTGAGAGGGGTTTGGTAGAAAACATAATTGTTGCATGAGTTGTAAAGGAAATAAGAGGATATTCTGGCAAGTTCAATACTATTCTAACTAGCGTACTATCAAAGCAAAAGGGGAAAAAGACAACATATGCCAACAGAGGGCTAGGCAGCAGAAGAACAGACATGATTCTACTGTTGTAACGCATTGTGACGGATGATATTTTTTTTATTTGTTTGTTCTAGGTTTGAGTCACATGTTTCACTAAAAAGCCAGGGTTAGCTATTGGTTACATTCCAAGGGCGAAAAGCTTTGACAGACTTTAGGGACGAACAGGTGAGATAAAGCCCTGAACTGCATCTCATACAGAAAGTGAGAAGCTGCCAGAAAACAGCCTGACTGCACTCAGAGAGAGTAGCAAAAAGCTTTTTTCTGCCACTAAACAACAAAAATAAGAGCCTCCATGAGTTAACAAATCAAGCATGATTGCATTTGCTTGCCTTCCAGGACACAGAGGGGCAGTTTGGTATACTGTTTTGTAAGTCTATCTGGCCTAGGCAATCCATATATCTACTGAAATATTTTGGGTTTTAAAGCAAAGTGAGATTGGTTTCTTTCAATTTAAAAGCTTTTCAATACTCTTTGGAAAGCTCACTCTTGGAGCATATCTGACAAGACTCATATCCAAGCTCTGTGTGAGTCAGGTCTCATCACACACCTGATAAGAACAATTAACAAGGCAGCAAGAGATAGAGATGCACCTCTTTCCATGTTTTTCATATAGTCCATCTAGGTCATCTACTACCAAAGCAGAATTAATGCCCACAAACACTATCATTCATTATAGCAACTATTCGGACAAAAAAAGCTATAGGCAGCAGGTCAGAAACATGGGGTGTCAGCCCAAAGAGTAATATAACAAAAAATGATACTCCAGTCTAGCAGTTGTATCTTTAAAAAAAAAACAACCAAAAACTCAAGAAGTTTCTAGTTTAGACGTTTGCACAAGCCTGCAGAAAGGCTAATCTCCTTCATAAAACAGTACTGCTCACAACAGGCTCTTTCCAGTACTAGCTGCTTTTCTGGTTGGAAGAGTTCTCGTTATTCAATCTAGAATCAGTTTTAAAAGTTTTGGAGGAGAAATGGGGGAGTAGGCACGTAAGCACTTCTGTTACACAGGTAGCTATTTGATGAAATGGAAAGAACAACAAGATTTTGTTTACTCAGAGGCTTATTGGTCAGGTCTATAGGTGCTACAAAGTTCAGGTACAGTAAGTCATCTAAGTCTTATTCTTTAAAACAAAGCTCTATTTAAAGAATTATAAGGAAATTATGAAATGTAGCCACTAAAGACTTCAAATGACCTGACTTTTCATAAAGTACCATATGCAAAGGACAAAGAGTTAAAAAATGCAATAATGCTTACCTGGTGTCTGTATCTTCTACTAATGTTTTGAGCATATCCGAAATGTGTTTCAAGTGTTGAGACCAGTGTGTAGTTGGCAGTTCTGAGGAGGCAGGATGAAAATAAAACTCTTAAGTCTAGTCTGTCCAACTGGAGCAGAACAGTGAAATTAACCAAATTAAGCTAGCATTAAAATTACTGCAACTTGATTCAGTTAACATGAAATATTTAAAATTTCATTTTAAAGTTTCTCAGTTTTCAGTACTACATACTGGTGTGTTTCTTAGAATAGTTCATTGACAAAGCTAAGTGAGGAAGTACAGCTAGGAATATTCAAATACGGCTGATGTACCCTTTTGTAAATGCTACCACAATATTAATATATAATCAGCGGAGTTACATTCTTAGAGGCTCTTGTACTGAGCTGAAATTATTGCTTATAAAAATCTGTACCATATTGAGCAGTGGTTTCTTTATCAAAAAACTGGAAAGCTTAAAAAAATACTAGGCTTGCAATCTAAAAGATCAGCAGAATTCAAGCTGTAGAAACAAATGGCAAGGCTATTTCTTCTAATATGCATATGAAAATTTTCACAATGAAAATTATTAATATTATATGAATGCTTGGTATTTTTACAATCTCAGTAACTTGTCTTAATTCCTACAAAATTATGTACTCTTTCCTTGTTATTTACTTCTGGTTTAGTTTTCTTTAAACTGTATTATTTTTACACAAGAATTAGATGTTCCAGAAAAAAAATAATTAAAAGAATATTATTAAAATTGCTGATTTGACACATTCTATTTAGGAAATGGCTAATATTTGTCTTCATCCCTTTTAAAAGTTATTTTAAGACACATACAGATCTTGCAGGTTGGCTAATGCTGCAAATATTTCAAGAAACTTACCAAAAGGACGTCTGAGTAAAGCTGTTACAAGAGGCTGGTAATGGCAAGGAAAGTAGGCCTTCAGTGGAAGTTTATGCTAAGATACAAAATAATTATTTTAAGAGCTTTCTGGTAAGTTTTCAATGCGAATCCATAGTGGACAATCTCCTCTGAGGTAGTAATTTGCAATACAGCGTGAAGCACGAGAACACAGAAGTAACTACACTTAATTTTAGGATTTTGCATAAAGAAAGGAGGCTATTTAGGAAAAGCCTGCCTAGAAAAAGTAATTCTTTATGGATTTTTAAAATACATGCATTAAAAAATATTTACATTATGAAGAAAATGACATATTCATTTTCTTGGGCTTTTTCACTGCAATCACAAAAGCCAGGCCCAGAGGGTGGTGGCCATTGACATGAAGTCAGCTGAAGGCCAGTAACTAGTGGCCCCAGGGGTCAACAGTGGGTCCAGTCCTATTTAACATCCTCATTAATGATCTGGATGAAGAGGCAGAGAGTTCCCTCAGTAAGTTTGCTGATGACACAACACTGGGAGGAGTGGCTGATATGCCAGAGAGTTACGCTGCCATCCAGAGGGACCTTGACAGGCTGGAGAAATGGGCTGACAGGAATCTCATGAAGTTCAACAAGGAGAAAGCGTAGTCCTGCACCTGGGAAGGGACAACCCCAGGCACCATTATGTGCTGGGAGCCAATCACTTGGAAAGCAGTTTTGCAGGAAAGGACCTGAGGATCCTGGTGGATACAAAGTTGGACATAAGCCAGCAATGTGCCTTTGCCACAAAGGCAATGTAAGAGAAAACCAGTTTTCAGCATACTGTTTAAGCAAAGAAAAAAATGTTTGCTTCCTATCATACAAACAAAGTATTTAAGGCAGTTATTTCCTTACATAAACCATCACAAAGTGCAAAACAAGGTACAAAGAGACAGAACAAGTTTTGATGTGGCTGGTTGTAATAATTGCCATGATGTATGACAGGAAATAAAAGTTGAACACTGGCTTAAAATATTTATCCAGGTATTTAAAACAGAATTTCCAGGTGAAAATCACTGACAATTCTGAAATGATCAAGGGAAAGTAATCCTGGAGAAAAATATAATTTCTATCAAATAAAAACATGAACTTTAAGTTCATAAATTTACAAGTAACGTGACTGAAACATCCTTAGGTCAGTTTTTACTACTATCACAAACTTGAAGGAAATCTGACTGTACAAAATATGGAAAGGATTATTCAGTGATCTCAATATACGCATTCTTAAGTTTCTTATTCAATGACTACACAAATGGTCTTTTTTCTAAGTAAGGTTAAACCCCATGTTCCATTTATACCTTTTCAGTTTCCCAAAACACAGAGAAAACAAGACTATTCCAAAACACTGTAGCATTGTTTTTTCACACTCTTTAGCTTTTTTTCTGCCAAACCTTGTTCGCTCTAAATGATCTACAAAGTTATTAGAGAAGACAGCTATTTCTGACAGCTACCACACTGCAATAGAGAATTGTTCTCTTCCTACCCTGCAAACCTTTGCAGCTGCCAGACACAACTTGGTTATTTTGAAAATTTTGTTATTTTGCCTTTTTTCAATTAACTGTACTATAAATTCCTAAAGTCTCAGATGACTCAGACTCCTCATCCTCTGTCATTAATGGCTTTACCATCCCTCTGTGAAATGCTAATGGAGCACATTATGTCCTGTCAAGGACATCCAGATACCACAAAGACGAGTGCCTTTTGAATATATGTAATATTGGTATGACAAAAAAATATGATCTGACTGATTTAAACAAAGTTTAGGAAGTAGTCTGTGCCTGCACTTTTGCAAGCCAACCGTTAGTTAACACTATCATTCATTTATAAACTATGAAACAAGGGATTTAAAATTCTAATACTGAATCAAAGTATATACAAGTTAAATAGAGGAAACTTAACATTCAAAAGTATTTCCAAAATGTGAGCAACAGTCCATGCTACAATGCCAGCAGACTTCCACCCTAAGCAAATGCATCACCTGCACAACAGGATTAGCTCTTGAGTGTCAGATGGGCGTGGAATCTTCATTTTTGTTCTCCACCCAGTCACCCCCACCTGGGGCTACACAGTGTGCTGCTGTCATGTGGTCAGGAGGTCACAAAATGACATGCACAGCACCTATATATTGAGCAAGGCAGCTGCAGTTTCATCTTTAATTCATATTGCCTGAAGCTAGAAGACAGATTTCTATAACACTGCTCATTAAAGGCCAGTACATCACTAGTTTCAGGAAGTCACAAAATTTTCTTAACTACCATCTCCCCAGAACGATACAAAAATCAAATGAACTGGAAATTTTCCCAAGTCTAAAGTGAAAGCTATTAAATAACAGTATACTTTCAAAACTAATGTCATATGAATCAGAGTTAAACAACCAAAAAAAAACTGGTCAAAAAAATCACTGGTGTGATTCGGGAACCCGAAAAGAAATTCACAACCTATAAAAAAGACAAGACTTTTATAGCTTTATCTTGAAACTTAAAAATGAGAAACCGATCTTACTCTTGTTTAATACATACAGAAGTAATTGTACTTAATTCAGTTCAGTAAGACATGTATAAGAATCTCTGCAGAAGAGACTCTACAGCTGTAAAGGGATACTATTATTTAGCTCATTATATTCAGTCACCATTCTTAACAGAATTGTAATTTTTTTGTGAAATTTCTTATCTTCTCATTGAAAAGAAACATTAAGAAATAGATCTCGACTAACCTGCTTGTTTTCATTCTGACGAGCATTAAGGAAGAGCTGTGTAAACACCTGTATTATGGTCACAACTTCTGGAGTTCTATCTGTTTCCAGCAGTGCATTCCTAAATATTCAAAAGTTAGATTAAGACAGATCAGGTAATTAGTCTCCCCATCACACTATTGTTAACTGAAATGAAAGCAAAAAGGGTACATTCTTTGTTCGCTGTAGATTCAAGCTGCATCTGAGCTCATTATGCCAGTGTGGAAACTGATGAAAACACTAACTTTACAGACTTTTTGAATTTTATTTTTATTTTAAAGAAATATATGCAACTCCTACAGCTGAATTAGACTTAGTAAGTATACACATTAAACACGCAGATAGACATAATTTACCCTACCAATAGGGGGAAAAAAAAGTGTAAAATTAAAAAAGAGACTACCACAACTTTATTGGGCAAATTTGGCATCTGAACAGTCTTACTCAGTTCAGAGCAACAATTCCCATGCCTAGAATTAAGCATCCTTTAGTGCTTTACAGGCTTGCGTGCCATAGGCCATCCGAAATTAGAAAGAAAGTACAATCTAGCACAATCTCCTGGGATACATATCTGGAGAGAAAAAAAAAAAAAAAGATCTTGACTTAAACTGTTAAATATAACACTCCTACTGGAGAGAGGGAAACAAACAAGCAAAAGTTGTTGATTGAATTTAAAAGCTACATATTTAAAAAACTACAAAAGGAGACTGAACTTAAATAATACAGCTGCTGCTCAGTCACTGTGACTCCAAGCAATGAATGAGAACCGCAAACAGAAATAAGTTTACACCAAAGGTGTAATATAGATCAGGACTTAATTAGGGACCAATGCATTCCACTGTGCTCTCAATGATGAAATCATAAAATCTACTCTTGAGGTTCAGGATGGTGAATGGTTTAACTGGCCCTCCATAGGGCATAATGGAAATTTGAGGAAATGGAGCAGAAAAAATATGGGCAGCAAAGTGTAATTTCATTCTTTTATTTGAGAAGCATGTAATGGTAAGGAGGAGAAATGTTCAAAGGAAGCTGACACTGAGATACAAGTTTTTTATTAGAAAATTGTTTTATTCTTTCCATGATCTAAAAGATAAGAAGAGCTAACACATTACTGTAACAGACACATTTTCACAAAACTACAGGCACATCTAATCACGAATACAAACACAAGAAATAGTACACAGAAACTCAAGACAGTCTAAATGTGTGGATTTCTGTATGACTGCACATGGCAACAAAAATGAGCTTCTACTTGGGAATCAATATTCCTGTTAATAGCCCTGAGAGAAAACAACTTGGCATGATCAACCTCAATAAAAAGCATGCAAATAGCAGGAAAAGTTATTCCTGAAAGAGAGACAATGCCCAAATCTGTGCTTCTAGCTGAATATTAATACCCAAAATAGAAGGAGTTTTCTGCCAGGTGAACAAACACAACACAGTTTCCAAGCAATAAAGTACAAGTTGTTTATCAGCAGCTCTCTAAAGTCTCATATGTGACTACATCTGGAATAGAGTATTAATGTGCGCACACTACTTGATAGTAATTGGAAGGATGTCAGAGAAATACAACAAAATTAACACAAAGCTGCAGAAACCAACTGGTCTGCGAAAGCCAGCTCACATATACAGCTTCACTTAGTACCAAGAGGACCTGAAGCATAGTATTTTTAAAACACAGTAAGGGTTTAATAACAACAATGTAGAGGAACAAGCATACTAAGTGGAAATAATGGAAGACAAACATGGGAGCAACACAAAAACATTATTAATTTCTAAGACGATTTGGAACATTAATACAAGTGCAAAGTTTTATTAGGAAATACTCTGCTGGACAAAGTCCTGCATTATCTGAGAAACAGCATCTCATCCATTTCTACTGTCTACAAATTGAAAGAGTGCAAACGAGTTATGCAGTGTCGGGGTATTTTTTGAAAATATTTAATACACCTTGACCCTAAATAAGACAAGAAGCTTGAACAAATTTTGTCTCCCTTTACCATCACAATATACAGCCTCCAGCCTAAGACATTAGTACAGGTCTGCTGAAGTCACAGAAATTTTCAAGTGTATTTTGCTTTAGGAAAGTGACTGGTCTCAACTATTCAAAAAATGCTAGCTGTGCTCAGACACTGGACCACAGCAACATAAAGGGCTGCCACAGCAATAGCTGCTGAGTGATTCCCTCTCACAGCACAGCAGTCTGAAGTTTCTACAGCAAAGACTCTTCTGTTAGTGCCTGCACAAACCTAAACACGCACACAGATACACAAATACCCCCAAACATGTACAGCTGGAAGCCATTTTTCTTAAAATGGAAAACATGGGATGAGCAAAGAATGTCAGCCACTAAACACATTATTGTTATATCAAAACTGTGATACTGATAATCCTGACAGTAGGTGTACTTAAAAAGACTGATAAGTCAAATGAAGTAAAGAGAAAAAGCCACTGAAAACTGAGTACAAAGGACTGGAAGCCCCCACGTGGTAAACTATCTATTGCTTCAAAATAATAACAGATTCAAAGCCACACTCATTATTAACAGCAGATCAATAGTTTAAGGCCATTAAAAGCATACTTGATATCAGTCCTGAAGACTATTAACATAACATAAAAGAGGTTACATTGGCAAGAGAAAACGTTTTAACTAAATTCCATCTTCATGCTGGCATGGACAAAGCCATTTCAACATTTTTAATTTTCACCTTAAAATCATATTTCAACCACAAATCCTTACTGAAGCACAAAATAAACTATATCTCTTAAAGGCTAAAATACAATGTAGTCAACTGTATCAACGGTTCTTATAACGTAACTTTGATGTAAATTTCACAAGATTTGCAGTGTATTACACAGAAGGGCATATAGCTAAAGAAAAAGACATCCTGAAATTATGATACATCTCAGAATATAATACTCATGAAGAAAACCTCTGTGTTTAAACTGATCAGCTGAAGCACTTCCCACTATAATTTCAAAACTTACTTGAAAATTTCATTCACAATTCTGAAAATGGCAGGATGGTTTGCTGCTTGTGGCTGTTGATAAATGAAAGAAAGAAAATTAGTCATTAGTAAGAAACTACTCAAACAACTTCCACTGTATAATTTACATCTTAACTCATGTATGCTACTACACTGGAATTATCAATCTGATAATCTAAGATCGATTCTTACAAAACCCTTAGATTTTCTCAGGATTAGGTTCTTCAAAATAACTATGTCAAAGTCACGGAAGGAGATCCACAGTGCTACCAAGCAGGCTGATAAATGCGGACACCTGGGATCCCAAGCCCTTTATGGCAACAATCACTAAAAATACTAAAGGTGGCAGACAGAAAGAATAGGTTGTTGCATGTGATTGCCGGAGGCAAGAGACAGAGATCAGATTTAAAAAAAGCTTTTCTCTCCTCTTCATAAACCATCCCTTTTGGATATGCTTTGAGAGTCTTGCTACATCTTAAAAATTAAATTCCTGAAATTAAATTAATTTTATCACCTTTGCCTTTTATTGCCTTTGCCTTAGCACCACTGCACATATTTTGGTCCAAGACATTTTTTCTCAGCATTATTTTCTTCTGCAAATTTCAGAGTTGCCAGTACAAGCCAAGTATGTCAGTGCATCAAAATGTACTGTTTTTAAACTAGTGAAGCATTGTATCATACTATCACACAAAAGGATGTGATTCTGTGCAACCTGCTCTAGGCGAACCTACTCTAGCAAGAGGGTTGGACTAGGTGAACTCCAGAGGTCCTTTCCAACTCCTAACATTCTGTGATTCTGTGAAAAGACTGTTTTAAGAAAGCTGTTATACAAAGCATGCACAAGTATACACACTACTTTCTCATCCAATATTTTTAAATTCTAAGATTTATTAGGCTTTTACAGAGCATCAAGGAAAAAAAAACTACTTACACATTCCCCATAGCATAGTTGCCTAAGTTAAAAAACAAATTCACACTTTTTGTTTCTGAAGATTTGGTAAGACTGTAGTTCTTGAACAATCTGGAGTAACACATATTTAATAAAATGTATTCTATAAACTTCAGGATGCATGGAAGAAGCAGCGTTTATAAATGGCATTCACTGTAACACCTCTAAGTGCCTGACACTGTATTCCAAATAAAACTTTTATGCATTTTTTTCAAGCTAAACAGTACTAAAAAGATTTTTTTTTAAAATTGCACACAGGCAGAATTAGGACTTTATTCTATGTTCACTATATCATAATCTCAAAATATAAAGGGAGACAACCTTTAATACAAACTGCCTAGGAAAGCTCCTTGTTTCTCACAGCTGTCTTTGCCATACTAGAACATTTTCATGTTTTACCACGCTGTCACCCGGCTGTAGCTAAGTTGTCCTATTGAACGTGTGCCATCTAGTGTCGGAGAGTATTTACAGCCAGCCGGTTGTTCAGACGTGTGAAGAACAGCATTCAGCTTGGTGCAAGGCTGTTCTCCAAACTTCCACTGCTAAAGGGAGAAAAAAAAAAGCCCTAGCTGGATAAGATAAAAAAGACACCTTCATTTCTTTTTTTCTAAGAGGAAAACTTTAACTAGACGACCTCCAGAGGTGCCTTCCAACCCTTTCCATTCTGCAATTCTGTAAAAACAGTGGAAAGTGAGAAGTATGTTTTTCAGTCCTATGGGCTAAATGGTTGTTGAATTCAGCAATTTCTCTACTGTCTTTTCAGATACTCGACCTACTTCTGCACACACTTCTATGCTGATGTACCAGCCCACTGTTGCTTAAGACAGGTTGAGTAAACTGGAAAGGGTCCATCTGCACTTTGCCACGCATATCAAAGTTCTTTTTTGTACAAGACCAAAACAAATGTGCTGTATGCAACAGTGAAAAACTACCCACCCTTTCCTGCCAGACGGCAGCAATCTACAGTGCTCACTACAAAAAACCACAGCTAATAGCTCCTAGTATTTCATCTACACTACCAAAATCAATATGAATTCCACCACTGGTATTCAAAAGGGAGAACAAAAAAACCCCAAACTCCACTGCTGTTATCTAATTCTGATTTTGATCAACGGACTGCATGGAATTAATTTGCAAGCACTCAAAGAGCGCAATCATAGTGCAAATGTCTCCAATGCAGTTTGAAGATGTGCCTGCTGTGAAGCAGGACTAGATCAGGCAACACAGCTCTGCTGTGGCCAACAGCAGTCCTGGAGTTTGGAAGGGATTACCAGTCTTAGGAGAGATTCTCATAGGGTTTTCATGTTGTTGACAATATCTCCTTATTTTTTCAAGATGAAAAGGCATTTTGCATTTTAACAACCTTGTCTGTGGCTATGCAATATTTTTCACAGAAAGCTCAGCAAATCAAACACACTGTCTACCAGAAGCTTGTTCTCTCACTTTCAAAACATGCACAGTATATATGGCACAACACACACTAAACCAAATAGATTCCAACATGGGGAATTGGAGCTACATGTGTGGTATCACAGTTACATATTTTAAGAATGTGTGCCTCTTCAGGAAAAAAAAAAAACAACCTACACAAAACCACTGAAATTTTTGAAATAAATAAGAAAAATATACTATAACACAAAGTACTACATATACAAGTTTTATAGACCTACACTACTTTTGCATCTGTATTTTCATAAAGAAGAATCCTAAACAACTAATTTACAATACAAAGTCAGAACTAAATAAAGAAATAAGAAAAATACATTTCTATCTGTAAGATGCAAGTAAAGGGCACAAGGAGGAAAACACTAATAATCATATACTGCATTTTATTCATATAATAGAAGGCTCTGTAACAACCACAAGTAAGAAGAGTAAACTTTGGAAAACAAATCGTGTCCAAGATGACACAGCAATAGAATTGAGGTGGTAATACCACAAATATCAGTTCTTTTGATTTCCAGACTCACACACAATAAATTGGACACAACATCTCTACAGTTAACGCCATCTAGATTTTAGGATACTACAATGCTGTATTTTACATGTTGTCTGTATTTCCAAATAATGTGTTTACATGTATTCCTGAATTTTGTGTTTACCACCAATTAAAAATAAGAAGTGTCACTTCATTCTTTTTCTTATACCAAGTGCCAAATGTATTTTTATTTTCAAGCATACACTAACTTTGAAAGCACAAGCATCTTTATACAGACAATTTTAAATCTCCTGAATTAATCAACGTTATGAATAAATTAGTGTGCAGTAATCAAAAAAGTTTATCGTAACAACACAGGTTTTTAAGACAGGCAATACTAAGAGAACTACTTGTAACTTAGCTGGAGTGTATTACAGCAAGGAAAAAAGCATCTCATTTTCCCTCTCTCTCCTTCTTCCTTTCTCCCGCATTAATACCTATTCCATTGGCACAGCTCCCAGTGAGAGGTGAGTGTGGATCCAACTAGACTCGAAACCTGGGGATAAGGCACAGCAAGAGGGCAGTTCAAGGGCATGGGAACTGGAGCAGCCTCCAGCTTGGTATCCTGTCAGGCAACACCAGAGTTGCCATATCACCCACTAAAACGGTATTTGCTCTGTAATGCTGTAGCAAAAATAACAGCAAGGGAGACCCCACAATTAGAGCTTTAACTGAGTTAAACATAACTCTGTGGAACATAATTTCAGTGCTGGGCTAGACTTGGGAAAGCAGACACGGTGGAAAAACAAAATGCAGCAAAATCAGATGGTTCATAAAGGAGAAGCCGACACATTTTAAGACCTTTCAACCTATTGCACTTTTCTTGCAATAACTTCAAAATAAATAAAACTACTTTGGAAAGCTATCTAAGAACTGAACACAAACTATAACTGACACTGATTCACATCACTTTTTTATAAAATGTGTGCTTTAAAAATCTCTTTATATACATATCTATGCATTTCTGATAAAGCATACAATTCTAATCTCTATCTATTTAAATTTTACCTGTTAACAAACACACACACAAACCTTAAAATTACTTCAGAAGCGAAGATAGCCACTCACTCACCAAATTCTGAAGAAGCTAAAAGGCCATTTGTGATAGTCACTTCATTTGTCTTTATTACTTCTGAATAACTATAGAATTTCCAATATTAATTCCAGTTCAGCCCCAGAACCACAAACATAGTAGTATACCATATACACTATCACACTAAAATTACTCTTGGAATTAATATATAAGAGTATTGCATATCAAGTTTTATTCATAATGGAAGTACCATGGTTTACAACTATCTGGGTAACAGAGATCTCTATAAGGCTCATGTACAGTTTGGTTACTGTATCAAGATATTTTGTTTAGATAAATGACACTGATACTGCAATTAAGAAATTGAAATTTCCTTCTTATCATATACTATAATCAAATTATCAACATATTTCTGCCTATTTCTACCCTAGAGGTAACTCCAAATAGAAAAAACCTGCATAAATCAAGTTTATCTCCTGATTCCACTTTTCATTAGCATATCCATAAGGCAAACAGAGGTCACACCCTACAAATACCATAAAAATCCAACTGCCAATATATGCATACTCATATTCCTAAATAAATATTCAAATGTCTTTCCAACATTACTGTCTTTCCAACATTAATTGTACTGTTGGATTCAAAGAGCTGACTGATCTAATGACATACAAGTATCTTTACAGTACCATGTACAAGTTGTACAAAATATCATTAAGTGTTTTAGAACACTATTTCTGGATCAAACCTTTTCCTCCTACACTGCCTCTCTGAAGTTCCTCATTCTGTTGAGTTTTAGTTGGCAACCCATCTCCCATTTATGCTCCTTCCCTCTCACCAATGCTTATCAATCAGCAGTATCCACCTGTCAATTACTCTCTTCATTCTCCCTTCATTCATTCCACTCCTTGTCCACAGGATGTCCTCTCTAAACCAGCATTTGAAGCTGGTGCACTGGTCTTCCCACTCTGTGAATATCTTCTTTTGAAAGCACAATGCCTTTGGAGCAGGGGCAAGTAAGAACAACCTAAGTGTGCTAGCACAGTAATGTTCCACTCTTTTCAGGGATGAGGATGTGAAGACAATGTAAATATGAAAATTGTTAATAAACAACAATTAACCAATAATTAAAATAAATATTTTTCTTCTTTTTATATATAACCTACATATTTTATTTTTTTTCCTCAGGCTGTTGTGGTGCCATACACTGTATTCAATTTACAGTGTATATGATACAGAAAAAATTAGGCACAGGCCTTGTATATTGCTTTGTCTTCTGGAATACCTAGATCCCCAGATGACATATGAAATGCTGTTGATGCCAAGCACCTATGAGATTTGCAAGTATTAGAATGGATCCCTAAAACAGAAATAGAAATTTGTAGATTCAATTAAAAAAGGAAGAATATATAAAGGTATGATTCTCATCCTCTCTAAAATACCTACCTAAGCAGTTTCATAGTCTGAAAATAAGATACCGTGTGACATTTTTTAGTTCTATACATTTTATGCAATATATCATTTAAAAGCATAGAGCACATGCTATTTCACACTGTAATTAACAATTAAATTTACATTTAGTGCTGCAGAGTAGCTCACTATTTTGGAAAAGGTATCATATTTTCTCATAGGAAAAAATTTTGGTGTACTGCATAACACAGCATTTGAAAACTATAACTAACATTTAGCAAATGTTTTGTATTAAGAATTTTGTTTGGGTTTTCAAACAAAACAAGTAACTAAAGAGCCCATAATAAAACAATCTACAAAGAATGTCAATTGTTTAAACTGCTAAACTCCCAAGTGCAGAAAGACTGAAGTAAAAACATATTCAAATCTTCCTTGGCCAAAGTTGATGGTTTTTTAAGACAGGAGCAGGTACTCAGCACACCCACCAGTCAGATTCTCATCTCTTCATCAATGGATGAAATAATTTTCTCTTCTGCTAATCCAGTGTAAAAACTAAAAATTTACTGACATTTGTAAGACTCAAGATTTACCTTTGCATTAGCAAGTTCTATACCACATGACAGCCACTTCCCTCAAATATGCTGATGTATTTGAAAACTCCCTGTCACTTCTGAAATGTGAAAGAGCAGTATCAAAGGTACTACATGTTGCACATACCAGTAATGAGTCTTTTATGATGCAAGCCACTTCTTCCAGTGAACTCAATGGTATGGAAACCAGCTGGTCTAGAAGATACAATGTAGCTTTTTCAAGGCTCGGTAAGTGACGAAGCCAGAGGCTAAAGACCGCTGATTCAGGGAGGGAGATCTTCTTCCTGGGTTACAGAGAAAAACACTGTTTTCCCTGAGAAACTAGAAGGAAGATCAAAATGGATTTTTTTTTAATTTTTTTTTTAAAGCACACTGGGGAAAAAGGAGACACAAAGATCAACCTGCAGCAAGAGAACGAAAATCTTCTTTACGGTACTCTGCTCAATATTGAATAATAATAGCAAAGAATAACAATAAATTACCATAATCTACAAATGAAACAGTACCACATGTCTTTAAAACTTAAAAATTTGGTTATGATAGATCCCAGCAAACAGAAAATGAAGGTTTAGATCTGGAATTC